AAAAATTTGAAACCGTTTTATAAAAATCTTTATTTTGTATTTTTGAAAGTTGCAACGTCGAAAAAATACCATTGTTTTATGTACAAAATTTTGTTGAAATTTGTTGAAAAATTTTATTGAAGTGATCTCAAATTAAAATCTCTTTAGGAAAAAATCTAAAATATAACAAAATGAAAGATTTCAGGATGCAAATCTCTTCAACATGTATGCATAGCGGAAATTTCAATCAACACAAGCTTCCTTTTTAAGATCATTGCCACAATTAATTCGAAGAGACTTGAGATCGTTTTCTCATAAACAAAATGCTCTTACATCTGTTTTCCCAACAATACATTCAAATGAACCCCAGACCGAAATTCTCACTGGAACGCTGTTCATCGAAATTTCTCAGCCTTTGTAATGTAGTAAAATGTACATGCTTTCAATCTTGATTGAATTGCTTCCTATTACGTCTACTTTGCTAAATAATGCGTTAGCCTTCCTCTCCCTGCCACATAGCATCATGTTTCTTCAAACATGCCTCGCATATTAAGGAAACCACTTGAGCACTACTCCATTTGAACATACATCTCCTGCAAACTTCCTGTTTAAGATACCACCTTCAATAATTTAACACGAGACCTGCAGGATCAGTAGTACTATCCTACATTTTCGCGAGACTTTCAAATTATGAATATATTTTCCAATAGAATATCTAATCTATATATAATATCTATATATAAATGTGTTTTGGAATACAACCGACTTAGAAGTAATAACTGATGGATGATACAATTCTTGGTAAAATTGAGAAGGTCAATGGTTAAAATAGATGTCAAACGAAGTTGAAGAGATTTCATCTTCTCGAACACCGAATGAGAAATAGGCGAGCATTACAAATGAAAATATAGATGTGCATTAATTTACTATTTTTACTTATACCGACAAGTTGAAAACTTGTCTTTAATTATTTGTACTTCCATATTGCGTCGATTACTAGGAGGTTGGGTAGGGACATGGAGCATTGTTCAAATTCGCGAAGCGGTTGTGCAGCGTAAGGAGTGGATATTTTCACCATGTTTGATTTCCTCATACCAGAGAGAGAAACAAAATGCGTCTCAGAGCAGGATATTTTCAGTTCAACTTCCAACAAAAACATTTGAAGTATAAAAAATGGCTTGAAATAGACAAATGTATTCAATATGAAAATACTCCTTTGGAATGTAATGACATCGATATGTGGTAATTATTTTGGGACTTGGACTTGAGCAAATTGTTTTAAATTTGGATTGGAGGAGGTCTTGACGTTTATGCCCCCTCGGATCCGCCATTGACTCATACCACCAAGTGACACAATTCAACGTCATCTCATCCCTTATCATTAATTTATCATCATTCGCCCGTTATACCCATCACCCCACCGTCATTCGGCGAATGGCAAAGACAATTCACTTCTGTAATTACCAGTGCCGAATGCAGTACATAAAAGCGCAAGCATACTCCTTCGCCTACGCTCACAAGTGAGTATGGCATTCATGAGATCAAATTACTATTTCAATCGATTCTATTATTACATCGTATTATTGACATTTTTGTGACAAATAATTTCATTGTTGATGTACTCATATTCTTTCTGTTTCTTTATTCTATAGATAGATACGAGATCGTATTGGTGTCGTTCGTATAATTTAGATTTGAGTTGACAATACGGTTGGGAAAATGTGGCATCTTCGTGTCGAAGATGTACCCTACAAAACGCTACATCAGGATCTGCCCATATTTCCATTAACATATTTTCCACCTGCATCCTGTAAATAAAGGCAATTTGTGAGCAAAATCATACTTGCGCTTTGCCTATTGCAGTTATCAGATCTATTAACCCACTAGATAAAACACGGAATCAGAACCAGTAAGAGGGTTCGCGTGACAAAAGCGAGTTCCAAGACCATGATTCTCTTTTTTCGAGCCCTGCCGAGAGGAAGCGGTGAGTAATGATAAAACCGGCCCGGCCTGTCCCGTCGACACCTGCGTTTCGCGTGGAGGGGCCCCGCCTCGCCCTTGCCCGCTTCGCGCGTCGCTCGCCCACTCCCGCCCTCCGCCCTCTCCGCCCCAGCTCCCTTCCGGCCGCCCACACCACCACTGAGCGTTCGTAGAGAGGAAGCGCACAGACAATACACACAAACGTCATAATGGTCTATAGCGCAATTGCTCAAAATATCAACAATTCTTAGTTCTACACAATTCGTCTTGTTTTGTAGTCAACAGTGTTCTCACAACCTCCACATGTAGGTTTCCCTGAGCTCAAAAAACCTCTAATAAAAATGTAAGGAATTACATCAATACTATTTTTAATATATTACTTCTGTTTGTGTCTTTTTTTTTTTTGTCGACTCAATAGCGAATACAGGAGGGGCAGCAACGCCGCCCCCTCAACCACCGTTATGCATAATTTCACTCAATTTATTAAAAACAGTTTAAAGATACTGATCTCGTTACAGTCACATAGGAATGTTCCTGTTAAACCCGAGGTAATGGCATTTCAAGAAGAAATTCTCATTCTAAAAAGTAGCGTCATTTTTTTAAACAAATGAATGGGTGGAGGTCCAAACGGAAATTGCGCCTCCCTTGAAATATTTTCTGAATCCGCCCCAGGGCACAATGTGATCTACTGTATTTTTGATGTTTGTGGTGATCTTTGTCTAGATGTCTGTGTTTTGATTATTATTGTCTAGGTGAGGAATTGAGATTAGGAGCTAATACATTTTTCAAATAGAAATATCACTTGTAATTTTGGGAGTCTTTAAATTTCGTTGACTGGAGAGATTGCATGTGAGAACACATAACACTAATGATAAGGGCTTACGACCTATAAATGCATTTCTTTATACTATTAATTTTTATTAATTTCCTTAGGTGATTACATAATAACACCTGTTGCGAGCAAAATTAAAATTAAAAGGGGTCACGAGATAAAATGCTCAAGAAATATTCTTACATTCAAAATTACTTAGGAGTCAGGAAAAGTCGTACTCGCAATTGGGGACATAAGTATGCAGGTAAGGGAATCGGTAGCGGAAGTAAATTGAGTACTTGGGGGTTATCATGGAGATAGAGAACCAAATTTGGTATACTTTCGCTTTTTGTTCAGCAATGAATATTTTATTTCGATTTTCGAGTTCATCCAATTCAGTCTCATCCATCAGGTTTGGATATATTTATTTTCCTTTATTATGCCATTAACGAAAAAGCAAATCGTAAAAAGTCGAAATAAAACTAAGAAACTATAAGATCCCTACTAAATGTAATCATTGAGTGTCTTCATCGCATAAAAGTTTTGCATTCAGTTGATTTCGTGGACGGCAGGACCCGGGAAATGTCGGTGGCAACAGACCGAATAACGAAGCAGGCCCCCTCCTCGCTCCGACGTCTGGAGAATTGACAAATGAGAGGAAATGACGACTTGGCATTAGAGTTCCGCTTCGCCGAGGACACTATTGTTCGGTTCCGGCTTCTTTTTTTTGCCTTGCGGATAACCTTGTGGACGCGGTTCCGTGCACAAGGAAACAGTAGATGTGCCCAAAAAACCATTTCAAGAAATTAGCACCCAAGGAAGAACCAATACGGGTTAGCTAATACAGTCCCAAATCGAAAACCAAGGAGGAAATATGGACCTTTTTCTCAGTTCGAAAAATACCCAATTTAGCTGCCCCTATTTAGCCAAAATACCCCTACGCCCATTTTTCCAGCTCGTAAGAACAGCTAGTGTCCGGGACGATTCCTCACCCCAATCAACAAGCTACCTCGCGAATGTGCGACGCGGGGCAGACACTCCGCGGACAGCTCCGCGGCGAGCGAGGCGGGGGCGGCGCAGGAGCGGTGTGGGGGTTGAGTCAGAATCGACGGGGCTCGGCGTGACGCATTCCGCGCCCGTCGCCACATCCGTTCGGGGGAAAAACCGCAGCGGCATCGGCACGCAGTGGCGGCGGCGGCGATGGCGGCGGCGGCGACAGGCGCGCCGGATAGCGCAGGAGGTAATTTATATTCAATTAGCGTGCTGGCTGGCGCCGCAGCTGCCGCGCCGCTGCCTACCGCCTGCCGCCCGCCGCCGCCACCACAGCCGCCAACGCTGCCACCGGAGGCGGCATCGCCGCCACCGCCGCCGCCAGCGCCCGCCCAGCCGCCTGCCCGCGCCTCGCTCGCGCCCCGCGCGCAGCCCCCGCCCCCTCCTGCCGACGCACCATGCGACCGACCTATCTGTCATCTCCGGCCGGCAGGCGTTGCGTAGCCGCCGGGGTGGCCGACTATCGACCGGGAGCGCCCTGTTTGGCTACCATCTCTTTCCCAAGGAGGGGTGGTGGTGCGCAGGAGAGGCTACGGCCCGTCTCCTAGTTTTTGTTTTGGTTTTGTGGTTTTATTTGTCTTTGCAATGTCTTTAAAAATATCGTAAGCGCATGAGAAAAGTGGCGCAACTCAAAAATTGTCGTTTTGCATTATTAAATGTTTATCGTAACTTCGCGTTTATTTCGAGGTGCATAACAAAGCGTTTTACTACGTATATCGGTTCTCTTCAGAGCTAAATTATATTTTTCTATTAAAATAACATTTTCTTACCAAATTTCTTCACAGTTTAATTTTCGACGAGTCTCTTTTCTTGTGCGCCGACGATATTTTTAAACACATTTCAAAGATAAATAAAAATTATAAAAACAAAAAATAGAGGATCAGCTCCTAGGCTCTAGATGCAACACTCATCCCTCTTAAAGAAAGATTTACTTGTGTCACATTTCTTGTCAACAAATTATATAGGTACATATCTAAAGAAGTGAAGATTAATGAGAAAGATATTAAAAATTAGCGTGGGAAATTGGGAAAATGTCAACAAAACACTCATAATTTAAGAAAACTGTGATAACATCTAATGAGCACTATGCGCTATCACTTCACTTATATAAGACAGTATGGCATTTAAAGGTAAAATTTGCCCTTTCGAACTACATATTACCATTTCCGCAGTGTGGACCATGGTGAAAAGTTATGGTCGACGCTACTATCAGACAAGTATTACACCAAAATATCGAGTAATATCTGTTTCCAAGATGCTGTGATAGAAGTGGCAGAATGTTTTCCTAATCGCAGAGAATTTAAATCCCCAGAGGTTCCGATACTCAATCAGCCTGTTTTTGAAATGCATTGAAGAGTCCCCCAGACCTTGGGAAGGCAGAAGGATTATGCCTGAGCTACTGGCTGTTCTTTCTAAAGCACTATCTTCGGAAATCTCATTGGAATTTTTCGCTGTCTTGTGAGGGATCTATTTACGAGAAGTAAATTCTATGTGGAATTAAAATTTATTTTCTGAATTGTAAAGACATGTAGTAAAATAATGAATGTTGATACGAAAGTCTGGCTTTTAAGTTTACTTTCTCGTCTTGAGTACTCATATTGAGTACTTACATAGCAAAGATGGTGGATGGATTAATGGTTCCTGTCGCGTCGGCTCTAATCGCGGGAGGTGGCGGTTATGTTCCCCAGCTGGATGGTGAGATCGGCAGTCAACATACGTCAGCTCTCTGGAATTTTCCCCAACTAGGAATCTCCCATAGATGCGTCGCACCGCCCCAGTCGGGACAAGCTCTCAGCTTCCGGCTGGCCTCCCGACAAGTGTGGCAATGTACTCCATGCACGCCATTTTAAAGAGAAAGTAGTGTAGTGTTGCGGCAGAAATCGGATTTTAAAATATGGAGAGACATCTTTTGCCGTTGACCAGTTTTTTGATATCATGTGAGAGGAAGTAATTTACTATATTTAGGGACAAGATTTATCCGCTTTTTGTTGCCAAGTTCCCAAAATACGAGTTTTTCTGTCGAAAAATCGCCGATTTCTGCCTCTATACTATACTTTCAACTAAATTGGAAGGTATGTAGTAAGGCAAGAAAGTAAAAAGAGGTTTAGGAGAAGCAATTGCCTCCGCTAATTAAATTCCTAGAAAGTATTTGCATTTTAAATAAAATGTAGCAATGTATTCATTAACGGTGTCGCAATAGATGGAGTCTCCACCATTTTATCACATTTCTTTGAGGATGCCTGTGAAATAATTAACAATATTTTATTGAATATTCTAGCGGAAATTAAAATAATGTTTAATTAGAAATTAAATAAAAATCAATAGATATTTGATTTTTAGGAGCGAAAATATCTTTAAAACAGATCTGAAATTACTCCACCATTCAAAAGTTTATTAATTCTCATATTAGGGAGAATTTAAAAATAACACAAGTATTAAGGTATTATTACTCCCGAAGATTATTACTCTGAAATAAGTAAGATAATGAAGAACTGGAGAACAGAATTCCGCGATTAAAAAAAAACTGGAGTGTGGTGGTGTATTTCGAGCTTCAGTTTCGGATTCAGCTCGTCGACGTACAGAAGAAAACGTGTGTCAAGCATTTGAGTCTGACATCGTTTTTTTATTTTGTGTGCCTGGTTTATCAATGACAAAATTGTGTAAATCATATAATGTCTTTAAAAGAAAGTTTCATGGAAAATATTGAACATTGAATCCCTTCTCGGATAGGATCACACAGGGAGACAGGCCTTCCTTCCGCCCTGCGTTGTGACACCAGTGCTTTGCAGGAGGGGACAATGTTATTGCGATATTAATTAATAACTCATTATTAATTCTGTCTTGCATTTTATCAAAGTTAGAATCTAATTACAAAATAATACGTATGGTAAATTTCGAGAAGGTCGCCGATTAACTACAAAAAATAATTACAAAATAATTACCTTGTTCTCTTTAGCTTTCATATTAACATTACGATTTTAAGGTAAGGTAAAATGTTAACTACGAACAAAATATTAATATTTTAAAATGCTCTAGTAATTCGAACAGATAATTTCTAAATGCACTGTATAAATGTGATCAATTCATCCTCTTTAAAATTTCAGAGAGAGGGATTCATAATGGATTATATACAGGCGAGTTCAAATGATAAAAAATACATCACAAATACTTCAGTTAGATAAAAAAATGTTTCCTATTACATTTTGCTGAAAAAACGTCGTTTCTGCACAGCACTAACTTGGGGATTTCTCTTCATCTGTAGTATACATTCAGGAGTTTGCGTTTATAATAAGTAAAGAACCTCTCAGAATAGTTATAAATTTTTCAGAAGAAAAATGTACTTTTTCGGATACAAACGAAGGAAAGTGCAAATGTCTGCTTTGATGGAATTCGACTTCAAATTGCGACAGTGCTATATCGCGCGCGGCCCTGATATTACGTCCGATTGTAGGCCGTCAGAACCTTAAACCGTCAGCCCTTTCATTACACTCACATTATATTACACTGTTTACAAATGATATTAATGACCACATGAGTCAAGCAACAAGACTTCCAGGAGAAACGGATAAAGTTGCTGTGTTTTAGAGGTTGAGACGAAATAGAAATAGTTGGGCTGTTGAATGGTACAGACTTTCTCGTACTACATACATTTCTAATCTCTTTATCCTGAGCTAGCCTATCGGATTTGCCAACCGGTTTTGACCCCTTCCCAATTTCTACCTACCGACGTCTATAACGTTTTATATGGACACACTAGACGAAAAATATGGAGCCTTTTGAGAGGACATATAGTTTGAGTATTTCTGAAAATGCGCAATTGTAATTTCATTTTCATAAAAACGTCTTGAATTTTCAGAATTCTTCGACGAAAAACAATTAAATCACTTAAAGTCACAAATGCAATCATTACTACGAAACCTTCATAATGTAAATATTAATGACGCAAGAGATGTATAAAAACATATTTGTATATTTTTAAAATAAAAACAACAAAAGAATACATCAAAATGGAATTTATCATGTCATTCAGTACATTTCGCATTACCTTATCAGAACATTTAAAGAAAAAAATTGGAACAATTTTTTGAGAAAATTTTCTTTTTAATATTTTTTATTATTGTCCATCACTTACAATTACGCAAAAATACTAACATTTTTTAGAAAATTTTTATAACAATATCTAAAGAACGAATTGTGAAGAAAAAATTCATTTGAAGAAAAACTCGTATTTTCGACACTGAGTTGTAGGAAGACACTGGAAAAATTTTTAACTTTCCCAATATTTGAAATTTCGAATTAGTAGGGAAAATCGGATTTTATTCTATCTTTATAAGTGTATTTCACTCTATTTTTACAACAAACTTTAAGAAAAAATTTGGACCCATTTTTGAGAAAAATTTGAAAACGTCCCAAAGGCTCGATGTGAAATACTTCCCATTTTTATTTTCAAAATCGTAGAGCTTCGAGCCGGTTTAGAATGACTGGGGAATATTAATTTTCTAAAAATTCCTACTAGTAATTTAGGCGCTAGTTTTGTTAACAGACGGACAGATGGACGCATGTTAAAAAAGAATACACTTTCGGTATCGGGGACCCCAAAGGTGTATTTTCGTTGAAATCTCACAATCGATTTTCCGCAGCATTACATAATTTTCTCTGTGCTAAGTAAATCACTCCGTACATACGTAGTATATGAGAAAGTAAAAATAACAAAAAAATCCATGATTCTGAGGTACAAAAGGTAAAGAAATTATTTATTGTTAATATTATGAGGTACACTCTGGTGTCTCCTTATACCATGTCACAAAATATTCCTGTATATCAAAATACCGTCATAAAGTTAACGTGGATAAATGTTGACGGTGATCATTTTCTCCATGAGTTGCACTGATTCTGTTTAAGCATTATAGTTCACAGATTACAGAAAAGATATTTGTCTGCAAAAGCGCTTGTATCATAAAATTATTTCTCGACCGCCCAGGCAATTAAGAGAACGTACCTCACGAAATTGTAAAAGAATGAGTAACATAGTAATGCGTTTGACGATAGTCCTGTAAAATAAGAAGACAACACTCATCTTTCGTAAGTACATCGAAATTAAGCAGGAGTCGCTAAGTATAATTTCGCGGAATGGTCAGCCCCTTGATTCGAGGAGCCTGAACTACCAAAAAATACAAGACATTTCTCATTTGCTCCTTTCGTCTCTTTTCCTTGTTCTCGGGAGACCTCAAATGTCCTTGGTAGAAACGTCTTTTTTATCAGAGTCAGTGTGAGTGCATGAGTGCAGCAACTGTCCATCCCAATGTTTCAAAATAAAAGAGTATTGAAAATAAAACCGATACAAAAAGAGAACGCGAAGGATGCGCTTGCACTTATTCCATAGCAGTATTCAATGATGAGTAAGAAATTGACAGAGAAAAATGGTCAATAGAATGTTCAAATCAAAATACAATTCTAATATTTAAATAATTAAAATACTTATAAAATTACTTTTGATCTCATCTTCTATGATGTTCGGTTGAGAAATTATTTACAAATATAATTCCATTTTAGAATATGCTAGAGCCCGGAGCAGCGAAAAGACTGCTAAACCGTACAAATGTTTTCCAAAACCAAACTGCTAAAAGCACACAAGTTTTTCTAAAGAACCAGACACACTGAAAATAAAAAAATAAAATACTCTAGTAAAACTTCAATTAATAAAATACTACAGTAATACACACACAGTGTGTTTGTGTGCCTGTGTGTATTACAACAGTTTTTTACATCTCCAAGAATATAAAAAAAATGACGTCATGAGATCCTAGAGATCCTTGTGATAAATTGAGTATGAGAATTCAGTCGGTACGAGCAGAACGAATATTGGCGGAATATCAAAATTACACAGTTTCATTTTCCAGTCAAAATCGATACTGTTTCATTGTTTTTGTATTTTTCCCAATTTCTGGTATCTAACAAAATCATAGAAACATCCCCCATGGCCGTATGCACCATCATTTTCATTCAATTTATGTGCTCATCGGAAATTATTAATATGGATATATTGTTTTTTTTAGTTCCCGGGTATCTAACGAAACCATAAATATACGAGTATCACAAGAGGCCGGAGTCTGCATAGATTGCTTTAAATTCCTGTATGCATTGGAAATTAGTTTTCCAGATTAGTGATAGAAACATTTCGGAATTCGCTGCCAATTCTTGAGTAACTTCTATGCGCAAACATTTGCATAAATTGTA